AGATCCTTCCAAACCGTCTGATGGTGCAGAAAACTTCAAGAGTGACAATGTCGAGACCCCATCTTTCAATGAGGACGAGATCGACTACGGTCGTGATGCTGATCTAGAAGATGAAGACGAACGAAACGTGATCATCGAGATCCAGAGGAGCACACAACAATATGAGGGGAAGAAACGTCAAGATGGTGAGCCCGAGGATGAAGACGTCACCGACGACTTACATCCGGAGGCGAATCGACCGACAGATCGTGATGAACCGGGATACTATGCACAGCATGGAGCGACCGAGTTCAATCCCGAAGAAGGAAGAGACAACGAAGATCTCCCCATCTATTGTCGAGTACCGGAACCTCGAATCTATGCGCATCAAGAGAGAGCCTACTGTCAGGACGTCTCCGTGAATGCATCGGGTTTGATGGATAGGTATGTGGTCAAATGTGTGCTGAACATGATCTCCCTGATGTACAAGAGCTACTATTGCACCAGCCTTACCGACTTCAAAGCAAATTGGAAAAGGAAGCGACTGGATGTGATAAGCAAGTTCGGTACAGGGGATTCCACTGAAATCGATGACGATGGGAGACCATTGGATCCAACAGATGATATGATGTTAATCTTTGCCAACGACAACAATATTACAACTGAGGAGGCCTGGCACCGATTCAGAGGAGAGCAATTTATTTGCAAGGTGGCACTCGTGATCCTATCATTTGGTCATACTCCGCAATCCTTCAAGAGGGATTATGGCAACTTCGAACACTCCACCGACTTGACTGATGCCCAGCTTGAGGAGTTGAAAGCGAAGAAAGCCAGCGCAATGACTGAATTGGTACAGAAGTGCATCCATGCGATTTATGGGTGTCGGACATATTCTTACTTTAGAACCGACGTTACATCACCCTACCACAAGGTGATCGATCCTCTGGACATCATGTACTCGAGAATGAAGAGCAAGTGGGAGAAGTCTATTCTGTTGATCATTGATCAACATGAGATCAGGTTGCCCCCACAAGCTCAGGAAGTCATAGAGTCAATGGCCAGAAACCCCAACGTTGGACATACAGAGAGATGGATGAGCGTGGTAGAACATAAGCATGTTCAAGCTCTTACCAATCGTCTAGGCTTTGGAGATAGGGCCAAGGAGATTCAGGGCAAGAAGAAGCAGGCAGCCAAGGCAACAGCTAAGTCAACATCAACGACTAAGTCTGAAGCGAAAGCAGCATCTTCGTCAAGAGCTGAGGCAAAGCCAGCATCTACACCCAGAACCGAGGCCAAGCCGTCGTCAGCACCAAGTGAGGAGCCAAAACCTTCAACAGCACCTAAGAGTTTCGGGCCCTCATCAGCAGAGGAGAACAAGGCGAAGGCTGCTCCAAAAGCCAGACTACATGATAAATCACCATCCAGTGCTACCGATGTGTTTGAGCAAGCTTTGCAGGAAGATCTTGCCGCCAACGCACATGCAGCAGAAGGTACAACTTCTTCATCATCCCGAGGACATTCCAAAGGAGGAGGCCAATCTGGAACATCTTGGAGGCCGGCGCTAACGCAAGAACGTCGCGAAGTACCTCAACCTTCTGAAAAGGGGAAGGGAAAGAGCAAGTCCAAGGGAAAGTCCAAGAAGGGAGAAGATGATCGGCGGGATGCTCAGGGCAGCTGGGATCATCGTGGATGGAGAGGTTATCACCAGTGGTGATTTCTTTGAACGACTATGAGGATACCATGCAAACCAGAGAGGAAGTCATTCACCGGATGTCTATCTGATCTGAAACGCTGTAAGTGTATCATTGCAAATCGTCAATCTGATTTGATACCATGAGCATAATGGAAGGCAGACAGTCACCGACTGTCTCTCCGACTTGCCGTTCTGTAAGTGTATCCAAATCAAAACCTACATCTTTTGAGAAGTGTGAAGTCAGTTGCCGATGTGACATCTACGTGGAAGTCACCAGTTCGGATCTACATCAAAGCGATGCTCTTTTGAGTGGATACTGAGCGAGGCCTCGTGACTGTCTCACTTGTTCAATTCGATTTTTCAAAGGTTCTGAGCCATAGTTGCACACTTTATATGTAAAAGTCCGCTTTAGTCCAGCATGTTTCGTAGTATGAGCCTCATATGAGTCTCGCGGCAAATCATACAATTCCTTTTGTAGCACTTACATCCCTAAATTTTCGTGTGTGATCGGAACATATTGTTGCCGTTCACATGGGGGGTGCGAATGGAAGTGCAGCGACATGTACAGTGCAACATGTACATATATATATATGTACCATATGTACTTTGGCTCAAGGATCAAGCGACTAGAAAAGGTGCGGTTTCCGTTCCGACGCTACGCCGCTTATGGACCGTCAGTGATAGCTTCAAACTTCGCTGATTAAGATCCACTCGCATATACAATATATAAATACTTGAAGTGGCCTTATTAATCAACAGTCTTCATTTGTTTGGGACATTCTTTGTTGAACTTCCTGGGATGTTGTCGTTTTTCTTGCAGAGACAGAGTGCCACACCAAATCTGGAGACAGTGGTGAGACATCCTCGTTGACTCAGCGACTGGAGGATTTCCAGAAGCTGGACAAAGACAAGAACGGCATGCTGAGCTTGGAAGAACTTAGAGCCTGGGAATCGGGACTTTTCCACACTGAAGCCGCGATGATCAGGCACTGTACACGCGATGATCGCGCTGATTTCGTGCGCAGACGTGCGTGCAATTTTGTCTAGGGGTGGCGGGTTTAGGCATTGTGCGTTGGGGTCAGGTTGGCCGAACTTCTTGCTAAACAAGTTGACTTGAGACATGACTCCCAGCCGAGTGAGTTGACTTTTCTTTGACAGAGGCAGGTTACGTACTATAATGTGTTGTTGCTGTTGTTGTTGTTGCTGCTGTTGTTGTTGTTGTTGTTACATTGGATGGTTGCAGACTGCGTTAAGCACTCGTTTTGTGTGTGTGTGTTGCGGAACTGAGGATGACGAACCACTGCTGTTGTTTCCGCCGGCAAACCTGTCAGCTAAAGGACACAATCGCCTTTTGGAAGACCCTTTACATCCCTTGACCATCCTCTACCTACAACATACACCTGGGGCACCACCTGCTCTCAGCTCCATCTTGTCCTCCGCCCGGCGTGCGGGTCCCGAACGCGGACCAACCGCGATCCGCGAGGCTCATCCAAATCGCTGACAAAGACGGTGACATGCAAGCCACAGCTCAGGAGCTCGAAGATGCACGGGAGGAGTTGGCCAATAGCCACTGGACACAGACAGAGAGATAGGGATGAAGGAACCCTATCACTGATGGGTCAAGGGAAAGATGGAACAGGGACCGGAGTGGATTGGATTGCAACCAGTAGATGAGTTTCTGACGTTGGAAGGATTTGTCAACAGAATTTTCAGTGTTGCTCACAGGAGATGTTGATTCACTCGAATTGTCGAACACTCAGTGTTCACTACCCGAACTGGGTGTTCAACATGTTTTCGAGTTGGCATCCCGGCATCCCCTTTGAGCCAACGAAAAACAGACAATTTCCCGTGTTTCGTGTTTGAGCTTCCCTTTACACCCCAAAACGACGTGTTTTGCATAATATGTTTTGAGGATGAACCGTGATGAATCATGCATTCAGATATTATATATTCCGATAAATGTCGAACGTATAAAGCATCTATACCATCACCACCCAGTTCGGGTTTGTTTGATGAACCCGCTGACCAATGCATGTTCCATGATGACCTATTCAATAGACCGCGCCTGGTGTTGGTGTGATGGTGTGGGTTTGTCCCAGATTTTAGAGAAAGAAAAGGCCCCAGGAACCTGCAACCAGGCCCCATCATCCACTGGGCCCTGCGCCGATGAGGTGATGCTCAGTACCACCTCGTCGAATGGGCGGAGCACAACGAGCTCTAGCTTAAGGACAGGCGGTGGAGAAAAAAGAGCCGATGGTTGGACCGGGAGCCCGGTTGGACCGGGAGGCGGCGGCGACCAGAAACATGGAGTGTTGATATGCAGTTTGAAGTCATTGTTGACCTAACTTAGTACCTAACTTGTTTGGTGCAATTTGAGGGCTTCAGTTGGGAGAAAAGTGAATACACCTTTTGGACAATAAGCATCGATTTGCAACTGTCCATTTGGAGGTTTGTCCATATTTCTCTAGTCCCACGGCCATGGGCCTGTTCATTCTAGTCTCCAACTTGCTGTGTTGTACGGAGGAGGTTTTGGACTGGTAACCTAGGATGGCTTGGCAGGGTGTGTGTGAAGACACGAATAATAAGCTTCAAGTCAACAAGGTTCGGTTCAACTCAGCAAGGTTCGGTTCAAGTTCTTTGCTCCTGGGCCCTTTGCAGATCAAATGGCACAGTTTTCGAAGCACAGTTGGTTGAGAAGGATCCGCTCCTGCTGAGGAAATGAATCTAAACCTACTCAAGAGTGGCCTGCAATTTGCCCTAGGGGAGGGCAATGGGGCAATTTGTTGCAAAACAAACTCCTGCCACCTGGGAAGACTGATGGTCCTAGGCTCCGCCTACCGAGTTGTCGGAGCCAGGCCTTCTCCGGAAGTGACGCTGCGGAGCGCGACGTGTGAGAAAGAAAGCATTTGGCTGACGTGTGAGCTGCCGAAGCATCTTTTTTGGATGTTTTTTTTGTGGGTTCTGGGCTTGTTGAAGTCTAATCACGACGCGCTGGTGCATAGGGTTTGAAGGTAGGTTTGTGCCATTCCTTGAGTTTCGACACTTGTCAGCAGGATTTCAAAGTGTTTTTTTTCTACTGATCTTTCAGTAAACATTGGATTTGCACGAAGAATATGATCAAGCCATGTTTGTCGGAAGCTGCTTTTCCGATCGTCTCCCTGCTGACTAATAGCATCCTAACACTCCTCCCACCTTGGAACGGAGTTTGTCCTTTAAAGTTATTTTCCTGAGGGGGACAATTGACAATGAGCGCAGGGTATTTTCACCCACATGCACCATGTGACTGATGGTTTTTGTTTGATTCCCCACCTCGCCCCTTTGACCTCAGGACGACCCATGCGGAGCTCCCAGAAGTGCCTCAGCAGCTCATCGACGTGGACTACGACTCCCCGCAGCCGCCCTACCCGGACTTCGTGGGCCCCGCCACGCCCGGCGATGCCACGCAGCGCCAGCGGCCCACCGCCCGCGCCAAGGCCGCCCTGGCGCGCGCCGCCGTGGCGGGACGGCGGGAAAGGACGGTGCTGGTGATGGGACATGGCGCCTCACATGTGGCTTGGAGATGCACAGGAAGAAGTTCCTTTGTCCCATTGACACAGGAAGAGTCCCTTAACGGGAATCATGTTAATTATGCTTCATTACCTTTTTAAAACATGTTTGTTCTAGATGTGGGTGAATTTGGCTTGGGATTGTGTAGCTGTAGATAGTTTTTGGATGTGTTTGGTGCTTATTAGTTGCATGTTGATTGTTTTCTTGGGGCTTGCATGGGTACCTGATGACTTGACATCAACTTGCAACTTTGATCATCATAGTCATTGTGACACCCGTGGGTGAAGATATTGAACGTCAGCTTTGTGCGTATGATCCAGCTATATCAATACATTTGCCGACATAGCAGGGACGCATGTGTTAAACTGAGGACTATGTCACTGAGGCTGGAGAGTGACTCGATGTGTTCGCCTACGTGTGTGCTCAACGTCGTGGTCCTTGGGTTATGGAATCTTATATGGGTTCATTTCGTTCTGGGGCCGCGCGGATGCGCAGCTGGGATGCGCGTGCCAGCGATTATTTTAATCGTTTGGCGATGAGGCCCACCTGAAATCTTGAATTATATACAAGGCCACCTCCCTCTATCGACAATCGATATGTGTACCATATGAGTTTTCCATAGTTTTCCATGGTCTAGGTATGTCGTTCGGTTGCTTTCAAGACTTGCGGGTCAAGGTTTCCCCGATCCTTGAGGCTTCTGTTTTGGATCCCTTTTTCTGCGTTGGTTCCGCTCATCGTGATTTGGAGGTTGGACCGTGGACCTTGTTTTCAGTATACTCGTAGCAAAAAGGTTCCCCACCCAAACTGAGGTTTCGGCCGGAAATGGATTAAAACATGCTCCCCACCGGGGCTGTTCACACTATACGGGAGGCCGTTTTTGGCTGAGATGTTCTCCCCATGTCCACCGGGTGAAGAACGGAAACCAATTGCAGGCCTTGATTCCTGGCTCCTTGCGCTTGGACCAGCAGACGCCCTTCTGTGTGAACCATGCACCGAGACGGGGGTTTCAAAAAAAGAGAGAAGACGTCTCAGGTCACGGCAGTTTGGCGCCAAGTAAGTAAGTTAAGGTAGTAAATGAGAGTTAGTTGTGCTGTGGAAGTTGGGCCTCATGTGGGGAATGGCGCTGGATGCCAGTATCCCCCGCGTGAACGCACACGAGAACCAGCATCATTCACCCAGGTCACTGGACATCGAAGGAACAGTTTCCAGCTTATGTTGAGGGGTTGATGGTTTGGTATCATCCTTTACCATATCGCATGCAATTGCTGATGCAGTTATGTGTGGTTATGTGTGGTTGCCTTTAGTAAAGGGATAATAGATAAATTAAAATTGGGTTACTCAGTGGGGTCATACATGTTGCCAATATGAATCGATCATGTATATGATGTGAATTAACACCCATTCTATATGTGTAAAACGTAAAGGGTATATTTAGGGTGTAGCCCAGTACCCGTAACAGTCGGTAAAGAACTATCACTATTTTTAAGAAAGGCCTTTACTAACCATCATCATCCACGGTTACTGGTAATGGGATACACCCAAGGTATATAACCAAATTTGTAGAGATGTTCACCCGGTTTTCAAACTTGTGGCTATTATGGGTGGGTTCGAGGTAGCGGGAGGCTCCACACATGGGTGGTGGGTGGAAGGATGCAGCTGCAGTCTCACAGGGGGAGAGTAGCCATGACTCTTAGGTGGGTACTGTACCGGGATGAATTCCATAGTCGCTTCGATTTCATGAACACTCTAGGATTTCCTAAATGTCCACTTGGTAGAATGCACAGCAAGTCGTTGGCAAAGTTTATATTTTAGTAGCACAAATGACTCTTCCCATGTCCTATAGCTGATCATTTAAGGGAGGAACAGTCACCTGTTCCACTTGACCCCACCAAACGCCCCGCAGGTTCCTGCGGTTATTCTATTATTCTGGAGCGGTTCGAGCGACGGTGACCCGACCACCACGACGTCCCAAGCGTCCCAAGGGGAGCCACAGCCACGACATGAGCGACATGAGCATGTTTTCCAACTGCTAGGGCCCTATAGGGCCTAGTTCGACTATTCCATAGGTACCCCAGTAGGGTCCTAAAATAGGTCACTTACTGTAACCTCTCTTGGTTTGGTTGCCCTCGGAGTCCGATAGGCGCTGGCACCTGTCAATCCCTGAAGCCTTTTGAAGCACCCAAGGTAGCCATTACCACGCTCTTGCGGCAGCCGGATGGAACGCGCCCCGCCATGTAATGTTCGAGATGGCCATTTGGAGTTTTGTTTTGCGAAGGGGTCAGCTGCAGGAGGCTTCCTAGTGATTCATTAATGCAGGGGGTCTTGAATTAGTGTTGAGGAAGGGGGGTCGATGGAAGATCACTCCTGACCTTGACGCAGAGGTTCACGCTCTATGGCTTCAATGAGAGACTTGCTTTCGGTGGAGAACGTTTTTAATATTGTATGACTTTGCGTTGATCCAACCCAATCATTATGTTTTGATATGTTTTGATTTTGTATGGAATCTTACTCTTACTTTTGACTTGGGCATTTAGATGGACTGTTTGGCCTTACTTCCATCAATGGCCCAATGGCATGAAACATGGTTCTTATTTGGCAATAATGTTTGTACATCATCATTGGTACATTTCAACATCGACTTGGGACCTCAGGAGTGTGCCGCGTTTGCTGGCCAACGGCTGGCAGCGGACCTTCCGTTGGACGCCCAAGCGGCCTTTCGCGCAGCGCCCTGGGCGGATGTTCATCTCGAGTTCATGGGGAGATTCTTTGGCGCTTCAAACGCCAAGGGCAATGTTTGGCAAACTTATATTAATCTTAGAATATCATAAATAAATATATACACGCATCTCCAATTTATATAATGTTATGTTTGTGTATATGCCACAAAATTGTGCATATGATCCAACTGGGTAACTGGGTAACTGCAGACTTGGTGGCCATGTGGGAACCTTGTTGTGACCACACGTGCTCGAGTCACTGGGCGTCGAGTCACCGTGCGCTGACTCGTCCAGGCCCGCAGAGACCTGGAAAGTCAATGAACTCCTGTGGACCTGCGGCTCTAGCGGCTCAGCTGAAACCACGTGATCGCAGTGATCACGGTGGGGGTTGTTTGCTGTATAGGGATGTATATATAGGGAAAACTCCAAGTGGTTCGATCAATTGTACGTTATATAGATGAGTATACATGTTTATAGTCGAACTTAAGTAGGTACAACCTCCACGCACACGAACTCAGAGGTTTCATGACCCAAACATATCGTAACGTCATGGGCTCCATCCACTGGTAGAAGAAGTTCTCATGTTTCTTACGTCCTTCTGAAAGTCTCATGGTTCGTTCGTGCGGTGCTTGGTGTCCGGCCAAGGTCACCGTGCCGTGCGCGTGTTGACTCCCCACTGCCTTCAACTGGATGCGGAGCTATTTCTGCTGGACAGCTGCTCAGGGCACGTGCGGATTCTGAGAGGAGAGACGCTGACAGAGGCGGAACCTTTGTAAATGTAAAACAAGGTAGCGCGTGGAAGGGCAGGTTTGATGCCTGGGGAATGGCTGTGGTTTGACATGGTTTTGATGCTGTGGAATTGCAGGTTTGACCTGGTTTGATGCGGTGACAGGGGGGCCACGGAAGTGTTTTTCTTGTTTCAGAAGTGTCATTTTTGATTCGGATGTTTCTGGACAGCGACCTTTGACTCCATGGGTACTGGAAGTGGATCACAGAGCTATGAACAGAGCACAAAGTACTAGTAGCAATCCTGCCCACATTCCCGTGCACAAGTGCATCTCCGATCCTGGCAGGGCGTAATAAAACGTAAAGACAGTTCCGTGGGAGACATTTCGAGAAGATTGGTTCGCCTGTCGCGCGGAGGGAGTTTGTCGCAAACTGTGGCAGTTGGGTCGTGGTTGGACCGTTGGACCAGGATTTGCTTGGTGTCCGGAATCCAGCAAAACATGGGGCGCAAGACGGCGTAAGCCACGGTACCAAGAGAGATCAGTCCAGGAGTTCTAGTATATTCTAGTATGTTCTAGTTCTATCTTTGATCATCCGTGCCCTATCCAAAAAAGATGCTTTGTTCTCAAAACTGCACACTGGATCTGGGTTTCCATTTGGTAAGATTGCAAGTTCCATCATTTGGGCCTCCACCAGTGTCATGCGATTTGCTTGATTCAATCACAGTGGCGATATACTGGTAGATATATGTTTGGCTTGTCTCCGTGCAGTTGGGTACATGCATGTGGATCAGTTGCACATTAGACACCATCATTCACTTACACAGTTACACATACAGTCGTTTCAGAGTATATAGATAGATCTCACAAGCCCCAAGATGTTCTTCATACGTTAAACAACCACCAAACTTGAGGATTGTCAATTGTGTCGTCGACTCTCAATCCATGATAGATTCTTCCCTGCAGCAACTTTAGTATACACCATGGCGGTCAAGCGGCATTCACGTGCAAACGCTCGATGGCGCCGAGTTCCTCGGCGAAATCCACCGAGCACGGCTCGAGTTCGGCACCATCTCATCGAGAATGTGGCAAACCATGGGCAAACTGGCTGTTGCAATGCATGCCTGACTCCATAACACCATTAGATGATTAGATGGTTGATCTTGTTATTATTTTGGAAACACCTCACGAACCAAAATTCTATGACCAGAAGAACCCAATTCTCGGCCAAAGTGAGTCATTGTCTTCGGCCCACCCCTTCACTCGTCTCGACCGGAGTTCAGCGCCCAGACAAAGGCAGGAAAGTTGGACAAGCCCATGGTCAGGCCATTGGGGTATTTCCTGTAGTGTATGTAATTCCTGCCATGTTTATTCTTATGTTTGCCAGACCCCATTATTCTACAATCGTTGCTCATCTTGAAAAAATGCAAAACAAAAGCACACACAAAATGCAGCCAGAAAAACAAAAGCAATCATAACAGCAAGATAAACGCAACAACATGCAATCCCAAAATGCGGCCAGAAAAAAAAACAAAAACAACAACAACAATCATAAAAGCAAAAACGATGCAAACCAAATGGCAAGCAAAAATGGAACAACACTGCATGTTTGTAACAAGCAAGAAAATACCCTTGCAACAAACAGTGTGACAACCAGTTGACAAAAAGGAGTTACTGTACCTGGTAATTACTTACAAAGCACGCCAAGAAAGAACAAAGATGCTGCTACTGCTACTGTAGCTGTGAGCGACTGGGTGACTAATTATACACTGTACACCCCTCCGAAAAGCTCTGGGGTGGCTGACATCTACATGGTCCCCGAGGTTTCTGCACTCAGCCGGGCTTTCTGGCGCACTTTTTGGAAGGGGCCACTTTCTGGTGCACTTTTTGTTCCCGCTTTTTTGCGCACAAGGAGCGGGTAAAAAACACACACACACACACAAGCACAAAAAGATGGAAAAAAACAAAGCGACGGCACCATAAAAATAAAGCGACCAAACGTGCGACATTTGCCCCGGCACCAGAAAGAAAAGGGACCAAAAGTGCGACACTTGACCCGGCACCAGAAAACAGAGCGAAACAGAACGACAGAAAGTGAGACGCTTGACCCGGCGCCAGAAACCAGTCAGCTGGGCTTCGGGGATGAAAGACCCTTGTCTTCCTCACCCTACCCGGCCCCTTCGCCAAGCTGGGTTCCAACGCGTTGAATTCCGAATCTGCAGTTAGTCTGCGGAGGCCCTTGCTAGGGACTAGTGGTGCGGGTAGTAGCATTGCCTTTATTGACCTTTTGGTTTGACCACGTCGAAGAGTGCTTTAAGTGTGTGCTTGTTGTTTTCTGTTTTTTTTGCTTTCTTGGTCGCTCTTTTCTTTGCTTGTGCTTTTTTGGTTGCATTTTGTGTTCCTTTTTGGCTTTCTTGGTTGCACTTTTTGTGCTTGTGCTTTTTTGGGCTTGCACTTTGTTCATGTTGTTTCTATCTTTTTTTCAAGACTGACGGTTTCTAGAATCAAGCCACCTCTGGCGGACACGCCCGTCACGGCATCGTCTTCCAAGTCACGGGGGCCCACGCCCGTCCGGACCGAGGCTTTGCACCGTGGAGTGCGCCAACGGGGCGACGGGGCGCCAGGTGCTGCTCGGCAGGGAAAGCCTCCGCTTTGAAAGGACAGGGAAGGCCCTCCGGAAGAACAAACAAGAGAGGTTAGTAGGTTAAGTGACATGAGCATACCTGAGCTAGGACCTGTCACCTGGGGTACCTATCGGATAGTTAGGGTCCTTCAACCTTTGTTGGAAGCGGTGGCTGCCTTGCATTGATCCCTTGAAGTTGCTGCGACGTGGCCTGTTTGATCGTGGTGAGACCTTTTCTTAAGACGTGTTTGATCGTAAGCGTTTCCTTTAACGACAGCACCCCCCAAATAGGATGGTTATTATTGGAAGGCTGATGCATAGTCACGGGGGTCTATAAACAGTCTTTTGGGTGGTGCTGGTGTACCGGTTCTGAATTGAAGAAGGAAGCCATTGAGGAGGCCACCTGCTGGCAGGAGTTGGTTTGCACGCCACTTGGACGAGAAGTTTTGCAGCGAATGCGAATGGTGTGCCAAACAGCCATTCTGTCATATGTCGAATGGTTCTCCATTTGAAGAACTCAGAATTCATATGAAACAAAATAACATGCCCATCGAGTCTTGTCACTGGTCACCCTTCCACAACCCTGTTGGATCGGACTTGGGCACGGCATGGGGGCACAGAACACCTCTGGGCCCCAGTAACTCGGTGTTTTCGTGGAAATGGACATGACCCAAGAATTCCAGCTTGTGGCCGTTCGTAGCTTGCAACTGCAGCAAGCTGTTGCTAATAACTTTTACTTTTGCATCAAATCCGCACTGTACCATGTGATAGACTATGATAGACTCATAATGTATGACTCATATATGACTCATATACAGTATGTCATATGTCATAATGCTTGAGCCGTTGGCCATATTCTATCGATCTACATCTTGGCTTTGATGATCCAATTCTTGTGTCACGGCCAGGCAGCACCTGGCCATCGGGGTGGGGCACATCGCCGATGACGAGGCATTGTTGGGCTCCAGAGTCACTCAGATTGGCTGTTTTGACCTGTTTGACCTTCACTGGAGCATCAACATGCATCAACTACACCCAAACAGACAGATACATCAAACCAGAGCACCATCACCCTTTTTACTTGTTTTCCAGAATTCGATCCTTAGCAGGGCAACCCTGCATCCACCCATGCAGGATACCGATCGGACAGATGACGTAGAAACGGAAGTTTTCTTTGTGGATTTCCGACTGCAACTTCAAACGTCCTGGGGCAACACCAGACAAGAAGGACGACAAAGTCAAATCCCCTTCAATATCCTTCAATAGCATATGCATTTGGAAATCAGTGAAGCCAGTTTTGCCAGGTTCTCCACAGGCTTAAACCTGAGCACGTCAGGTCTTCAATATATCTCAAGGGCCGAGTCTCGTAGGGGCAGGAGGCAAGTTTAGTTGCTAACAACCAGAAACCTGGGGATACTTTCGCCCTAGTTTCCTTCTCTAACGGGATGTTATACAGTACAATGCTGTTACACAGATACACTCTGACAAAGACATCACTTGGTTACATGATGTTATATGGATGTCATGGCATCCACTTCCATGTGTTGTGTTCGTGGTAGCAGTGGCTCGCGCTTCTGAATACCCTCAGATCGTGGCAAACATGAAGGAAACATTAACCTCCAAGCGACCTATCAGGAGGTATTTTCCTGTTAGAATACCCAGCAATGGATGCTGGATACCCCCAGCAATGCTCCAAGCAATGCTCCAAGCATACCACCAGCTCCCAGGAGGGGCTGAAGTTCCGCGCATGGGGATGACCGACACCTTGCGGGCCGCCAGGCGCGGTTCGGGACGCCGGTCCGGGCGAAGTGGTGAAGGAGGGGTTTGGCAGTGAGCCTGGGTTTGGGATGATGTAGACTGTAGACGGTTGATTCATCAAAGCCTCCCATATCTGTATTGCAAAACCCTTTCATATGTTTTTGTTTATCAACAGTCTACGACCTGGTCAAGGCCCCCCTCTGAATCAATTCCCATCAATTCCCCTTCAAACCTTCAGGGTGTACAAGGGTTGAGGAGAAGTTGGTCCTAATCAAACGGACTCTGGTGCATGTGAATGCATGCCCATGAAAAATACATGGCTTTTGGACCAAGCATGGCAAGGACATCCATGGAATGAGATGGTGATCTTGAAATCCTGAATGGATGCCATCATAAGCATCGCGTTAAATATATAATTATATATATATAGTGATCAGTGATGTTGTTTTTTGACAAACGCTGGGGGTAACTTGTAGATAACCAGGGGGAACAGGCCTTTGGTACCCTTCGTACCGTTGGTGCTTGCTCAAATTGTGTGTTTTTTCTATACTTTACATGTTTTACATACTTCTGCCAACACTCCTGAGGTATCACATGTTTGAAACCGGGAACATTTTGGAGATCCTAGGTGTAGAGAGTTGTGGTTAGCTTTCCATTGAGAAAACTGGTGCTGCGGCTACTGCTGGTGGTTTTCTCCGGAATCGGACAAAAGCTCAATGGCAGGGCTGTAGTGGGTTGGTGGCCATACTTGTAGCGGGTG